CTTAGAGTCTAGCCCCTCGTCTCAGGGGCAGGTCACGTTCTGTCTCGGCCCCTCTCCTCGGTGGCCAGGGGCAATGCAAGGGGGGAAGGGGGGAACCCAGGTCCACCCGCTACTCTGGGTCCCGACCCAGGGACCCTCTAGTGGCAGCCTCCCTCTCTGCTCCTTCTCTTCCTCTCTCGTCTGCCTAGTTTCCCTGGGCCACTTCCCCTTTGGCCCTATGCACCTTCACGACCCCTTCTAGCAAGGGCTGCAGCCTGGCAGGTCTCTGGGCCAGAGCTCCGCTCTACTCCCCCAAGCCTGCCCAGCACTGCTCTGTCCAAAGTGTTGCTCCATAGCTCAGGAGCCAGTCCTTCTCCCTCGCTAGTCAGGGAGTGATCCCCCTCTCCTCTGTTAGGCAGCCTTTATATAGGACCTAGCCTGGCCCTGATTGGCTGCCTCCTTCCCTGCCCTGATTGGCTGTCCCCAAGCCTTGGCTGATTGGCTGCTGGTCTGCACAGCCTCTCAGGCCTGGTTCAGCCCTCTTCCTCAGGGGGTGGGGCACCGCCCCACCACAGGGACCTTAACCTCATGCTATGCATTCTCATGGGCAAGCCATTCGAACCCCTTGCGACTTGCTCACTGCTACATCCATCAATGAAGGTCTTCTTCCTTATTGCGATCACTTCCACAAGAAGAGTAGGGGAGCTAGGGGTCCTAATGGCACACCCGCCGTATACCACAGTCTATAAAGACAAAGTCATCCTAAGACCCCACCCTAAATTTATACCTAAAGTAGCCTCTTCATTTCATTTAAACCAACCCATTTACTTACCTGTGTTTTTTTCCGAAACCCCACGCCAGTGCCGGGGAGGCATCCCTTTACACTCTTGATGTCCGTAGAGCTCTGGCCTTCTACCTAGAAAGAACAAAGACATTTAGAAAATCATCACATCTCTTTCTCTCAGTCACAGAGCAATCAAAGGGTGAGGCCATCTCTAAACAAAGACTAAGTGGATTTCTGGCTGTATCCATCTATGCTATCATCAGAGCAACACCGCTGCTCCACCTGGGATTCGTACGCACTCCAACAGAACGCTATCCATGTCTGTTGCGTTCCTCAACAACGTACCCATCGTAGACATTTGCAGGGCAGCTATCTGGGCCTTGGCCCACACGTTTACCAAACACTATGCCCTGGAACTACATTCCTCTGCCGACACTCAGTTTGGACTCTCAGTGCTATCCACCGTCAACAAAGATACTCCGAAGCCCCTCCTTCCATCAAGGGGTACTGCTCCATAGTCACCTAAAGTGGAGCACCCACAGGGACACTCCTCGAAGAAGAAGAAGAAGAGAAGGTTACTCACCTTGTGCAGTAACTGAGGTTCTTCGAGATGGTTGTCCCTGTGGGTGCTCCATTATCCTCCCTTCTCCCCTCTACTTCGGAGTTTCACGCTGATTCTCTGGGTTAGAGAAGGAGCTGAGGGATGGTTGGCTGCGCACGCTAAGTGATCACTCAGAGCGGCGCGGGATGGCCAACCAGGGCACCGCTACTACAAATCTCTGATTACAAGCGCAGGGTGCCAAGACATCTAAAGTGGAGCACCCACAGCGACAACCATCTCGAAGAACCTCAGTTACTGCACAAGGTGAATAACCTTTTTTCTTGGCCCCCTTCTCTTTTATAGTCCAATGAATCTTTGAAATGGATTCTTCTGAAGGATACCTCCAGATAAATCTATTTCCAACAGTGAAGTAGTGTAACGGAATACACTCCTGTATTCACATGCTACACACTTTTGTAATAATCTTTTGTACAAAGTATGCCTTATAAGGTATCATTTGAAAACTCATTATTTGCTGGTCCATATTGTCCTGGTAAAATACGGATGGCAAGATTGTTTGAAGTTATGGGATTCCCCCTATGATGTTGTTAACACATGTTCCAAACCCTACAGCCCTGCCCAGGCAGAAGTCAGGTCTGTCCTAAACAAAGGAAGCAATGTGTGCTTGCCTTAATTTGCCTTTACGCAGTAAACAGAGTCATCAAGTAGGAAGGGAAAACAAAAGGAAGTTCAAACAGGTGAAAAAAACATATCCTTGTCTTCCTGGGTCTCAGCTAGAAATATTTTTCAAGTGGGGGACTGAAACTATAAAAAAAGGAGGGACAAACGCCCCCCAAGGGACCCTTCTCTCTCTCTCCCTGCCCACCTCATTCTCCACAACTGAGAAGACAAAAGGAGACAGCCATTGGACTCTAGGGCAGGGGTCCTGACCTGCGAGTTTGGTCAGTAATCTACTGGAACCTGTGGTGAGAAAGTTTGCTTTGCAACTAAGCTACTTTCATAAGTAGATATTAGTGAGAGTTTTCTCTTTCTTTATTTTTCTTGTAACCATTTCTAACTTTTATACCTTGTTACTTATCCTCACTTAAAATCTCTCACTTTTTTGTTAATAAGCTTGTTTTACTGTTTTATCTAATCCAGTGTTTTTAAATTGAAGTGTCTGGATAGCTATTTAAGCTACTAAACTGGCATATTATTTCTATAAAAGAATAATGGATTTAATATATTTGTATTGGCCAAGAGAGGGCTGGGCAGTACAGGACAAAGATTTCTGGGGGAAGATCTAGGACTAGGGGTGTGTTGGGGTCATCCTGCAGTATAACCAAGGCTGGTGAGAGACCAGGTGTACCTGGAAGGCTGCAGTTACACACAGACACTCCAGGTGTGGCTTGCATGCTGGAAGGCTGTTTGTGAGCAGCCCAGGTGGGAGCTACTGTAAGGCACACAAGATTGCAAGACAGGTGACACCACTACTCATTTCCCTCTGGAATTGTCTGCTAAAATGCAAATTGTTTAGTTCTTCAAGTGATGGTACCTATGTGTATTCTACATGTGGGTGTGCATGCATGCTATGCACCTGAGTCTGGGAGAAGTGTCCATTGACCCGCACATGCGTGGTGCGTCCCCTTGTACTTCAAGCCAAGTGTATAATAGATAGCGTTGGTCAGTGGCTTTTCGGTTCCCTCTTACCACCGCACGGCCTGAGTCAGAACCCCTGTTCCTTCATGCTCTGTTCTGTTAAGAGAGTGACCACTCCTTGTTCTGTGTGTATAGTTGCAGATAGTAGGATTTTGTTGTTTTAGTGATATATACGTTCGTGTAGTTCTTTCCCTGTTTGTTGCTACCCTCTGGAGTAAATCCTGGTACTGACAATGATCATCCAGCAGAGAGAGTGAGAGAGGAATAAGTGCCTTGCCTGGCAATAATGAAGCAGCAGCGGGGACCAGCAGAGCCAGCAGAAACAGTTCAATATCTTCCTCTTCCTCACAGACCGATAGTGTCATTGGGCGAATGTGGGACGATTGATAAAAGGCCTGCAACAGTGCCAGGGTGCCCAGCGTGGCCAAAAACAAGGGTCCCTGAGATGTGGTGGGTCCCACAAGTAACAGTACCAGGCCTCCGCTCCTGGATCATATGCTTGGGAGGGTGGGGGTGGTAAAGGCAGTCTAGACCATGAGTCCGAACTTCAGCGGGACATGAGAGAAAATGAGGGTTCCAGCTCTGAGAACTCTGAAGATTGTTCCAGCAATGTGGGGGAACTGTTAGTACCAGAGGTCTGCAATTCAGCAAGCTTCTCTGGCAGCTGCAGCAGAGGTTCATCCTCCTGGTTCACGGACCTCCTCAGACTCTCCACCTGCACGTGGCTCTGTCTTTGAACACTCCCAGATCTACTCTCACAAGATCGGGGGAGAATCTGGCATTCCAATCCGGGCCCTCTTCACCTCACAGACTGGTATTTGGGTGGGGGTTGAGGGTAGACTGGACATGCTTCACCCTAGTATGACAGATCCTTACTCAGAGCAGTAGAGAATCCACTAGGTCATGCCACCGAGCAAAATGGAGTTTAGGGAAGGAAATTAGTAATATTGTATCCAATTGAAACTGCAGGAGGAATCTTATATGTTGTCAGAGTTTAATTACTCAACTTGGTATATGGAGTGTACAGTTTTAGAAAATACAGTGAAACCCGCTATACCGCGATGTTTGGGGTCCAAAAAATTACATTGCGCTAAATGCGGGGTCGCGGTACAGCGGGGTTTCAAGCTCGTCAGTGGTCCCTAAGGCGGTGCATTGATGTGCGCCGCCTAGTGCCCCTAGTGCCCAGCA